AGAGAGAGAGAGAGAGAGAGGGAGAGGGCGAGAGAGAGAGGGAGAGGGAGAGGGAGAGAGAGAGGAGAGAAGCAAAGGACAGAGAAGAGAGAGAGGAGAGAGAGAGAGAGAGAGAGAGAGAGAGAGAGAGAGAGAGAGAGAGAGAGAGAGAGAGAGAGAGAGGAGAGAGAGAGAGAGAGAGAGAGAGAGAGAGAGAGAGAGAGAGAGAGAGAGAGAAGAGAGAGAGAAGAGAGAGAGAGGAGAGAGAGAGAGAGAGAGAGAGAGAGAGAGAGAGAGAGAGAGAGAGAGAGAGAAGAGAGAGAGAGAGAGAGAGGAGAGGGGAGAGGAGGAGAGACAAGGGAGAGAGGAGAGAGAGAGAGAGAGGGAGGTAAGAGAGCAGAGAGAGAGAGAGAGAGAGGAGAGAGAGAGAAAAGAGAGAGAGAGAGAGAGAGAGAGAGAGAGAGAGAGAGAGAGAGAGAGAGAGAGAGACGATAGAGAGAGAGAGAAGAGAGAGGCAGAGAGAGAGAGAGAGAGAAAGTCAGGGGGAGTCAGACAGAGAGAGATCGCTAACTAGCTCGCTAGGGAGATAGACAGATAGATAGATGGATAGAAATGGAGATGGATAATTAAATAAATAAATTAGATAGATGGATAAATAGATAGGTACATTGACGAACATATAGACAAACAAATAGACAGACAGGTGTATATTCAGATAGTGTGTGTAAGAGAGATTGCGATGTATAGAGAGGAAGTAGGATCAGTTCAAGATATAAAGTAAAAAAAGTAATCCTGTAGAACTTACAAAGAATGTGTAAGTAAATACGATAACAAGCAAAAGGAGAGATTGCGGATGAAATCTATTTTGAATAACAACACTAAGAGGAAATAATACAAAAAATGTACTTTGTGATAATAAAAAAGTACTCTGCGCGAAATACCCTTGAATTCTGAATAATAAAAGCATCTCTCCTACTTTCATGTCACTGGTAGACAAGCAGGTTGCTCGTTGTTATGGAAACACGGGACGACCGCGTGAGTCACTTGCTCTGCGACAGAGATACGCCCTTCAGTGGTATACAAAGCAAAGCTGGTAAAACATGCGCACTATACTTATACAGAAACATATATACATATATGCATGCGTACATCCATAGATGCTGTATACACACACCCATGTAGAAGCTCTGTTCACTTGAATGTACTTTAAATAACTAGAATAGCAAATTCGACTGATTTCTGAACTTTTTAGTATGTTACTACGCACTCTTATTGATATATTAATCAGAAGAAACAGTATGGATTTTTCCTGTTTACCTATTCGTAGGGAAAACATAATCAAAATAGAACATAGGATGAGTGGAATGAAGAACTAATCATAACTTATGGTAATGAGAATGGTAATGAGGTTGAAGATAACGTTTCTTAGAATGGTAATAGATTGATGAGTGATGATACACATGTTAGGATAATGGTGGACATAATTAAGTCATAGAATATTCTACGCTAAGATTTATTTAGTTTGAACGCTGGTAAGCCACTGACTGTGATCTCCGACATAAATAGAATGGAGATACAAAGGATCCAACACCTTTAAAAGAAGAACTGAAAATATGATACTCACATTGTATACAGGACAGAAGGTGAACACACTCACGCACATGTATATAACATGTATCATTCGAATGTCCATCCTCATTCCTCCTTCCCTCACCACACACAGGCAAGGACCCACAAACAAACACACATACGCGCACTTGTGATTATAAGAAAATCGAGAAAATTATACAAAGAATTATGTATCTAGCTATTTCTGATATCCCAAGACGCACTCCCATTGGCTAAACGTAACATTAGCTCCTCCCTCTTTTTTTACCCTGTCAGTTTTTGCGATACTTTATGTGAAGTGTTTTTTTCAATCCATTAAAAAAAGTTCAGTAATGTCACTGGTAAAAAGATATTCGAAAAAGAAAAGGAATGAAGAAAAATATATTCCCATTGAATAAAAGTAGAAACAGGGCTTAGCTCGGAAGTTGCCCGCTAGGATTTTTTTCAAGGAGTGGGGCTACATATATCAAAGTACCTTGTATGTATATATATATATATATATATATATATATATATATATATATATATATATATATATATATAGATAGATAGATAGATATAGATAGATAGATAGATAGATAGATAGATAGATAGATAGATAGATAGATAGAGTTCTGGAATTATATTTCACTTGGTAAATAACCTATAAATGAAGTGATATCTTTTGAAAAACTGAAATTTTTAAATGCGACTTCCTGGAATTGTTTGTTTATCGAAATGGCAGTACCTATGCCGTTGAGGTGTCATTTCCCCTTCTTTCAGCAAGACAAGTATCAATTATAGCTGTGTATTTCTTGAAGCATGAAAGCACCAGGCTTTCAAGATCTTTGTACGGCAGCTAATTCGAATAAAGATCTCTTCAAAATCGCTAAGACCTTTGAAAATGTTTCTTGTAGCTGCACCATCCAGTTAGTGGATAATTGAAGTAAGTTTTATCTGTTCGTCAGAACTAAACACTGATTCAGTAAATAGAAAGCATGTTAAAACCAAATTAAGTAAATAGAAAACATGCATCATAATTTTTATTATAGAACATTAACTGAATGCTAACTGCAGTGTGTGTGTGTGTGTGTGTGTGTGCGTGCGTGTGTGTGTGTGTGTGTGTGTGTTGTGTGTGTGTGTGTGTGTGTGTGTGTGTGTGTGTGTGTGTGTGTGTGTGTGTGTGTGTGTGTGTGTGTGTGCCAAGTCCAATATGTGGGGATGAGTTAGAAAACAGTACGTATAATTTGTTTCGGTTATTCTGAGTGCCCATTATCTTGTGCTAAATTCAAATCATACTTATCGCTATTAGTTTTCCACAAGTCTTGGTGTACACATCCACATTCGAACAGCTGACCAAGAAAATGCATGTTTGCTTGTTTCAATTCGAGCAGCGACTAGTTTGGTGGTTCTAAGGAGGGTGAATATCAAGATTCTAAGAACCGACTCCTCTTGCATGTGCTGTATATCTGATATATATATATATATATATATATATATATATATATATATATATATATATATATATATATATGTTCATTCTGATGAAATGAGCAGTTCATCTCGCTCTCTACTTTAATGTCATATATGTATTTCCCTTTCTTTTTATCAGTGCACGTGTTTACAATATATGCATAAGTGTAAACTATATGAGCTTACCAAACCTTTCCTGCAAAATCAAAGTTTAGATATATTATTTCCTGATGTGTGCAAAGTCATGGTATGCTTGCTTGTATATACAACCCGAACATGATTAGTTTTTAGAAAGAGAAGCCATCTAGAAAAAAACGAAATCGTATATTTGTCATTCGTTATGTTATGAGTATTCAAATAATCCTGAATATCTATTTCGCTGTTAAGCCTAATATATACTAAACAAGAAAGCAAATATGTTCGATGGTATATGACGTACTTATGACTTGAAATGAAATGATGAAAACAAGGCTGCCAAGCTGACACCTTTTTAAGCCAGACGCTAGACAAGTACAAATTGCAAATCGAGTCCATGTCATTGGGGGATGGAAAGCGATTTCCCGGTTGTTGATATACAGGTAGATGAAGAGGTGGGGGGAGGAGGGTACCCTAAATGACCCCCTCGTTCCGGCGCTCCGCGAAAAACCACTGCAGGTCAAGATGCCGCACCTTCACCTATGCAACTCAATTTCAAGACCTACTGCTCCCGGTAACAGGTCGCGCGGTAAAGAAAATGACTACATGCAGATGGGATGAATCACAGGACGTCATCGAAGAGAGGTTGAACAAACGACGTCGCCAACTTCGCCTGCAGTCTACCCAGCAGTATGTGTAAGAACTAGATTATGGGAGAAGAGTAATAAAGACAGATAATGAAAATGAAAATAAAAATGTTCCACTGTTCACGAGAAGTTAAACTGCTGGATGAAAAATCGCAGACAAATACTATCAACCCCTTTTTCAATTTCTTCATATATGAATTTACTTAAACTTGTGTCATAGATATTTATTAGTAGATATAGTACTGTAGATTTGCATTTCATGTTCTAATTCTCATTCATTATTTACTTTTCAGACGAAATATCTATGGAACGGCGAGGAGGAGTAGCCTCATGAGCTGTAATATGTGGGGAAGGATGTTCCCTTCACCAGAACATTGCTGTGCCTTAGCTATTCCCAGAAACAATCATATTCGTGCAGGATAACTTCTTATACACACGTCTAATGCGGTTGCAAAGTGATTCCATGAACCACCTAGAGATCCTTCTTTGGCCAAGCAAAGCGTGTGGCTTGAACCCGATAAAAATGTTGGGCCGATATTGTCATGTTTGGGAAATGGCTAATGGAAGTATATTCAATAGGTAATAGATCATGTTAACAGGGAATGAACACTGTTGGTGAGGAAACCGGGACTTTACATTACGACTTCCCTCGGCATTTGTCTTCCTTTTTTATAAATATTTACCGTTTTTCTTTTAAAATAACAATGATGAAATATCCTGAAAATTGATAGGCATCCTACCATTTAATCGATTCACTGATCCCCCCAGCATATATATATATATATATAATATATATATATATATATATATATATATATATATATATATATATATATATATATATATATATATATATATATATATATATATATATAGTATATATATATGTATATATATATATATATATATATATATATATATATATATATATATATATATATATATATATATATATGTGTGTGTGTGTGTGTGTGTGTGTGTGTGTGTGTGTGTGTGTGTGTGTGTGTGTGTTGTGTGTGTGTGTGTGTACACACATTTTTTTAGTTGTCAACAATATGCAATACTATTTTGTGCGAGAAGGGGTTCAACATATGTATGAAACATAAAACCAACGATTCTGAACTGCCACTTTCATCAGAATCAAAAAGATTTTTTTTCAAGATATCAGATATACAGCACATGTATTGGGAGTCGGTTCTTGGACTTCTGACATTTACTCTCCTTGGAATCACCCAGCTAATAGTTGCTGGAATTGAGACAAGGAAATGTATTTTCTCGCTCAGCTCGCCGAATTTAGATGCGTCTCCTCATAGATTTATAGAATAATAATAGTAAAAATTACATTCAGAATTTAGTAAACCAAATAGGGCATTCGGAATAACCAGAGCGAATTACATTGCTTTCTGACTCTTTATTAAATATTAACTTTGTATTTCAATACACACACACACACACACACACACACACACACACACACACACACACACACACACACACACACACACACACACACACACACACACACACTCACAACACACATGATTATCGATTTATTCACTGTAGCCATACTGCGGTTTTGTGCTCTGTTAAATTTCTATAATGAACATAAGGTGGCATGTTTTCTGTTTGCTGAATCAGTGTTTGGTTCGGGCGAAAAGATAAAACAGAAACTATGTTAGTTGGATTAACCGCTACTAGATGGTGCATTTACAAAGGTCTCAGCAGTTTTCATTTGATTTAGCAGCTATGTAAAGGCCTTGAAAGCATGAAATGTTTTCATGTTTCAAGAAATATGCGGCTATAATTGCTATTTATAGTGTTGAAAGAATGTGGAAATGCTACTTCAGTCTTGTGTGTTGCCATTCGATAAGCAATTTTTACATAGAAGTGGTTGCCAGAAGGATCTGCAAGTGTATATATATATATCCTATTTACTGTATTAATTATGGTATTATCATATATATATATTATTAGGTATATATATTATATATCTATAGGTATATATATATATTCAGATATATACTTTATATATACATATATATATATATATATATATAATTACTATATGTATATATATAATATATAA